AACTCCAAAATGGCCAAAACAAATTATATGAGTCAAATAAATCAATCTTGTGCTGGTGCTAGTGCCAAGAGGCATGGACTTCAGAAACATCCAATGCTTTCTAAATAAGCTAAGCAACGCTTGAGGAGCCTGTTTCTCTAGTATTCATTATCGCACCACCACTGGAAATCTCCAAGATGCTTCACTGTCTTGTACTCAATAATGGAAAATTTAAGATGCTTCACTGTCTTGTACTCAATAAATTTCCATACTCAATAATGGAAAATCTGTGTCCATTAAGCCATATGTTGTCTGCAGGAACTAGATCTGCATGCATCAATGCTGCAACTTTGGCCTTAGCAGATGCAGGTATCCCCATGCGTGATCTTGTTACTTCTTGTAGTGCTGGATTCCTCAATAGCACTCCTCTTCTTGGCGAGTTCTTCATGTCTCTCATTTGAATGTGCAGTTTTCTGTTTTCTACACTAATTGATTTTTATCATATTGAAGCTAACTTTTGTTTTGTTGACCCAGATTTAAACTATGTTGAAGACAGTGCAGGAGGTCCTGATGTCACTGTTGGAATCCTACCCAAGGTGGACAAAGTGACACTTCTTCAGGTTTTTACGTGAATCTCTATTTCATATAATTCTCCCTGTTAATAAAAAACCCTTTGTTTCTTCCATGGTGATGTTAATCGTGAAAGTTATTGATCTGGACAAGTATGACTGGAAATTTTCATCATGGAAGTTACTCTTAAGTTGTGACAACAAGAATTTGTGGTGTGCAAATTTTTATCAAAAGTTGCCGTGTCATTTCTTTTCCTTGTAGCCACCTTTTGACACCCTCCTATCCCTCTAAATCGTCTTCACTGGTAAAAAGAAAAGTAAGATGAAAGTAAACACCAAATAGCCCTTGCTCTCATAGCGTGATCTGCTGCACTGTTTTGAATACAGTGTCCAGATGCTTCTTAATACCACTCCAATCGATCTTCAAATACAACTCTACAATGTCTTCAAACGTGAGAATCGATCATTTGTGTTCAGCATAATCCAGGTGTTTCAACTCCGCTGCAAGCGTGGGAATTAGAATTGTTACTTTTAGCAAAGCTTTTACCCCTAGACCCCTTATTTATGGTGTTTTTTTAATGCAGATGGATGCTAAGCTGCCAATTGATACCTTTGAAAATGTTATGCAACTTGCTGTTGAAGGCTGCAAGGCAATAGCAAATTACATTCGTGAAGTAAGTGAGAGTTTGAATATGATTGAATGACCTATGCATCTTAACCATGTCTTAATGTTTACATATTGGCACGCATCTTAAACATTTCATTTTAGCTGAACTATTTATTGTGCACCTTTTGGCAGGTTTTGCTAGAGAATACCAAACAGCTGGAGTATAGACGTGGCTTGTAGTTCATAAAAAGGGTAAGAATTCTGGGCCACGTGCAATCATATGCTTGTAACTTGACAAAAACAGACAGGGCTTACCGTATCTGCGTTTTTGTTCTGCAGGTATCAGGGCTCATATCCAAGCCCCAGCCTTTGCCTGGTTATTGTTGGACTTTCAGTTGTCAAGTCATCACTTGAAATTTGTTGCATGTACCGGAGTTGCCATCTCTTAAGTGAATTCAACTCTGTTAATTTGCTGAAGTCGTAGCTTACCGGGAGAGATAGTGGCCAGTATATTTGTATTTATATTTTCATTTGTTGCTGGAAGTGCTTGGTTTGACCGGAAACGTTGAACTCATGATGCCTTGTACCATCATTTTTGAATTGTTGATACAATGCAGTAAATTTTGCGAGGAGTATGACATGAGGTGGTGCGGTTGTCAGTAACCTAGTAAGGAGTTCTTGTAATTTTGACCCGCTATTCACCACGGCTGGATAAGTTTTTTTCTCAGTAAAAAAAATTAAAATACAGGCTTTGGAAATTAAATGAACCACAGAGAGGTAAAATCAGCCTTTTTGGGAAAAAAGAGGGAAATAATATGTTAAATTTGCTCGTCATTTCATCCCCTCTCTCCACCTAGAAATATATCAATATCACAATATTCATTATCTTTCCCTTCCAACAAATAATTTATTTTCCTTCGTTCCGCTTCTTATTGAATTCCAAACGAGTTGGATATAATTTTCCCGAAACAAAGACTTGGAAGCTGGAACTTGTGGCAAGATAATGTCAAGAAGCTGCCACTCGGGATTCTAAAAGATGGGGTTATAGGAAGCATGTTTTGCCCTATACCTGAACCATGCTTTCCGCGGTAGACGAGATAATTAATGACATTCTATGGAGTACTAGACCCCATCCGAGAAACATATCTCCAGTATTCGTGTATTTGAACCTCAAAGCCACGGAAGATCTTTCTTCTTTTTCTCAGAAAAAGAGCCCATAGTTTATAAATCACACAAACTACCTAACGTTAGAACTGTGGATATTTTGACTGGGAGATCTCTCTAGTAGCTACCTGAATGGAGCAAAACTGACACAGAAGAATGTGAAAAGAGGCTTCAATAATTTTTGTGTGACATGCTAATCAACAAAACAGGTCAGAATTCTAAAAGAAGAAGGCGCAAATTGAAAGCAAGTTATAACAACAACATGAAGCAGTGCCACTTTTTGCTCTTGAAAAATAATTCCACATCCCAAATAACTCCTCTCTGAAGATCAAACCGTTCGCTGCAAAAAACTTGGAAGGCACAGCTGAGAGCTCCGAACACCCAGTCCATTCCGCTTCAAGGCTACAGGTTTCGCAATCACTACTCCATCGACACTTTACACAAACTCTAAAATGTTTGGGTATCTCACTGTAATAATTCCAAGTGAAATACCTATCTTATTCTTCACAAACAAAACTTCAAAACGAGCTATTGGGGTAATTTTATAATTTCAGAAGAATCCATCCTTCATTGCCAGATTTCAAGGTGCAATTAAGTATTTTCACTTCTGTATCGCCCACTCAAATTGCTATTATACCCTTATATTCAAGATGTTTCAAAGCTGGTGTCGTATTTTCTATTTTTTAAGCATTTTAGGATGACTTAATTATCCTTAAAGGGTGAATTTTCCTTAACTTACGTCTACGGATATTTTTGTATTTTTATTTGGGTATCTTTTTGTTAATATCATGCAGATAAATGAGAGATTTTGTAGTGCTAAGAATACAAATATTATTTTTTTAAAAATAGTTCATGCGTGTTACACGTGTCAACACGTGGACGTGGTTGTGTTGTTCAAGTAGCACGACATTGCCCGACTTCCAAGGTGGCGTTCACTTTATCTTAACAAACTCTCCATTTTTGGACAGACATGTGGTGAATGGAACTCTTGTTTTGGTGTTACTGTCTTT